GAATAACTGCTTCAAAGTCCAAAGGAATTGCAAACTAGAAAGGAATAACCTGTAGAGATGCACTGTCATCTTCCTCAGTAAATTATGCCCTAGATGCACTGTCCTCACCTGTCAGCAATACGCAGAACACAAGATTCTTAAAGTGTAATATGGACTGACCCATTTCTTATCACTCCCCATGTTTTCCATGGGCATTTGTACTTTCTGCTACACAGGTTTAGATTCTGAACTTCTGCAACTGTGCTTTCCAATAAGATTTACCTTTCTGCATTTTAAAAAATAGAAAAGAATGAATACTGTAGCTCCTGAATAACACTAGTCACATCTCAGTAGTAAATTGCCACATGTGGTGGCCGGGTCCCACACAGGACAGTACTGGCTAAGTATATACACTTTTCAGCCAGCACTCTTCCTCCAAGAGAAATGCTGTGCGTCGTAGTGAGCTTTGCTTGAACTTCTTCCTTGGCAGTTCTGTTTGAGTGTTTGGGTGGATCACTCAAACCCTGAATCTTGGACCTGCTAGACTAAGGATACAGGAACGAGCATCCTCCCCATCCATCCCCTTCAGGTCTTGTGATTTGGTACCAGTATGCAAGGGATATGTGTCACAAATCCATCAAGGGCAAGTAGCCCTGATCACCAGAAGCAGGGATGCTCTTAAATAATAGGAAGAGAGAGGTGTCAAGGTGATCCACTGAAGCATGCCTTGAGGATTTCTTGCCTGAATTTTAGGATAAATGGGCAAGGTCATTCATCATAGCCTGAAAAGGGCTCAGAATTCTGAAGGAGGTCTTGTTTTCTCCCACCATGTGAGCTGTATCTGGCAATGCATAATAGAATTTTAAAAGTTAGCCCTTTTTCCTTTATAGAGTTAAGCAGCCTATCCAGAGGTCTTCCTTCTGAATTCTTGAACAACATCCCCTGAAATCCTCACCCCAAAGAAGTGACACAATGGGCTCATGCCAGCAGTCCCACAGGGCTAGAGCCTGGCTTCCTTTCCAGAAGAAAGAAGAAGGATGACCTAAGATGGCAGGACGCAAGGAGGAAGGTGTAGAGATCACAACATCTCTCAGTCCTCCCGCTCCCCGCTACTCCTAACTACAAAAGGCCCTTGCCTCCCTGCACTAAGTGAGACAGCTCTGGGAGGTTCTCTCTCAGGCTGAGCAGGTGGTAGCAGGGACGCAGCATAAGGCTGCAGACTGGGCAAGCTGAGGGCAGGTGCAGGAGAGGGTGGGCCAGTGGGGCTCAGAAACGGGAGGAAGCCTCCAGGTGCCACAGCCTTTTGAGCAGTTTTGGCCACTAAGTGGCATTCACACTGGGGAGGACATCACAGCTGTCATGGGACTGACAGGTGTGCTCAGGAGCCTGGAGGGAGAGGGAGGAGCAAAGCAAACTCTGCAGTCAGCCTCTGTGGGGCGGCTCCTGCCCAGGGCCTTCGGGGTGCGGTATCAGCCTGCTCCTGTCAAGGGGAGAGAGCATGCATGGCTGAGGCTCCTAGGCGTGTGCAGAGAGGTCTTAGGGCTGTGTGGACAGGGCTTGAGGGTTAACCCAGTTCTCCTTCAGCACTTCCCTTACAAATGGCTCTAATGAATAAGTAGTGGATCTGCTAGTATTGCAGGGGCCCTGAATCCTTTAATGACATTTTCTAACGACAAGTGGACTACATTGCTCTCCTGTCTAGGAAAGAATGGGAGACAACCTGTGTGTGGAAAAGGACCTGTAGTGTCAACAGAAGTGGCCGCATAGTAGATGCTCAACCAAATGCAGCAGATGTAACTTGTTAAGGTAAAATTCTCTTTCTTTCTAGCAACTTTTTGAGAAAATGAGGTGGGCTGGGAAATTCTCCAGCCCTTTCCAGTGCCACCTACTCTGTGACAGACACCTCAGATATAAACCCAATCTCAGTTTCATATTATTCTGAAAATATTAGCATGAGGGTTTTCTTCTTCTTCAGTCACTAACAATTGTATGTATTTCTCTTCACCAGAACATCCAATCTTAGCAGGGCAAGGATTTTCTTTTGTCTTCACTTTCTTGGCCAAGGTACTAACCTCTGAGCTGTGCCTACAGCTCACATGGATGTCCTTGTGTGAACATTATGTTGAGTTCCCTTAGGCAGACTGAAAGCAGGACTTTCTGGTGGGGAGAGACAGGGCCAGAGCAGGACACAGAAGGTCCTTTTTATCTTTATGTTGAGATCAACAAAGAAGCACTGAGCATCCACCCGGAGGTGTTTGGAGGAACTCGCCCACAACACGTGATTTTCCTTCCTCCACCGTGGTGAGCGTGATTCTGCCTCACTCGCAGCTTGTCATGGAACTGAGGGTCTGACCACTTATAGAAGCTCATGGACCTGCACTTGAGTTCTGTGGACATTTTCTAGTAACTTGTTCCATTAAAATCCTAGAAAGATGTTAAGATGTTTCCTAAAAGTGTCCTAGTTTACCTCCTAAGACAACTGTAGATTATGCTGCCTGTCAAACAGCCTGTCACCCACTGGGAGTGCTTGGTAGTGTGTTGTTTTACTCACCAGGTGCTGGATCCAGGGTATAAACATCATAGTCCATAGTTGTGTCTTATGTCAAAAACACTGCTGTCACTGGAGGGATTTCAGGGTGAGCAAAAGAACAGGCAGGACTTTCGACATGAGGTGGCCGTGGGCAGGTGATTCAGGGCTGTTCCCTGGGAGTGGGGTGCACCCATAACCTGCTCTGTTTTTCAGTCTTAGTTCAGCCCATGGTTTACTGCCTTGGACACAAGGTTTTTGTGCACCTTGTGAGATATTTTTTTCATTTCTCTAAGTACAGAAATAAACTCAGAAACAGAGCTGGGTTCAGGTTGGAAGGAGTGGGAACAGGGTGCCCTCTAGATAATCTCACACTGAGACAGTTAGTGGTCTTGTCATTTACTACTCAGGTATGCTGAGAAGTTCCTGAGCCCACTAGTCCTCAGTGTCTTTATCTATGAAATGAGTTTCACCAATATTTTTGGTTGTAAAACTGGTGGAACCCTAAATATGCATTAAAACACATGCAGGAATGCCTGACATAGACTGAATAGTTCGTGATAAGCAGCTGGTTCTAGTATTACCTTAAATCCAGAAGATCTGTTGCTCTTTCTGGAAGGGGTGTGTGTGTGTGTGTGTGTGTGTGTGTGTGTGTGTGGTGTGTTTCTCAAGGAGGCTGCAGTTCAATGTGAAACTGAATAGTAAATCAGGCTAAAATGCTACTTAGTAAGTGTTCCCCCAATAGGATGCATTATTTGATTAGACATTGGGGCATTTGTCTCTGCTGGGACCAAGTAATTCAAAGCTCCTAAATTTGGATGAAGAACCACATTCCCTTTTGTGTCAGCTTGTCCTCCACCGAAACAACTGATTTCAATTGTATCACCTTCACCAAAAGTCTATCCTGGGGTCTCCCAAAGCCTTAATGACAGTGGGGCCAAAAAATCCTGGCCATTCTAATGAGAAGGCCAGTTCGGTACAGACACGATTACATGAAGCCTGCAGCAAAGTTTCTATACCTTCATAAAACTAGCATGAACTTCCTTCAGAAAGAAATTGAAACCTGGCCCAGACTGAGTCCCAGTATAAGATAGAAGAAGTCTCTCTCAAACTCTGAGAAGGATCGCTGGGTGGGGGTGGGGGTGGGGGAAACCTCTTTGTCAGACAGTCAGCTGATCACTCATGAAACTGGGTGAATTCGCTGGCCATGTACGCATGTTCATCCTGTAACAGTGTTTGAGGTGAACTGAACTTATGAGGTGAAGTTGTCCCCAGGGAAGCAGTCAACTGGACACTGCAGGTTCATGCCCTGCATAGGACTACTCTTCCTGTAGATTCCTCTCAGCTTTATCAACCATATAAAAACATTGCACAGAGTAGTCTTCCATCCTCTTTTATCTAAGGTCCAAGACATCTCATCTGAAGGTCTGGCACTGGCCACCTTGCAGCTGCACTAAAATCGGTTTCTGCAGAAGGAACTGCAGTTACCCCAAACCCCAGAATCCCCTGGCTCAGCACTCACCCATGGCTGCTCTCTGCTAGACCCCTTCCACTCAGGGCTCTTTTTGTAAACTGTTTAGGCCCTCAAGGACCTCTCTCTCTTTGTCTCTCTCTCTCTGTCTCTGTCTCTGTCTCTGTCTCTGTCTGTCTCTCTCTCTCTCTCTCTCTCTCTCTCTCTCTCTCTCTCTCTCTCCATTGGTGGTACTCCTGGACTCCACCATCCCATTGGGTGGGTTTGATCCTGCTCAGTCTAGGATATTCATATCTCTGCCATAGATACAGGGCCTTCCAAAGAGCACATGTGCAATGAAAATTTGGGAGTAAAGGTTCCTGTGAGCAGATAATGTCTAATGACATTAAATCTCTCTAGTATAATTGAAGAAACCAAGCAAATTCAGGTATATTCATACTTTTTAATAGTATCAAATGATAAAGAAATGGAAATAAGCAGAGACTTAATTTTTAACCTTATGCTTTTTTCTGGACTCCATCTAACTTGTTGTAAACTTCTTACATATTTTCAAAGAAATTATTATTCCGATTCTAGGATATCTTACTCAGTATCACAAATAAAATGAAAGTTTTCCCTGTGGGTTTTATAAAAACAAAGATTACTACACTTGGAATGGAAGAACGAAATTCTTTTGTGATCAATAACACACAAAATCACAATCAAGCAACATCACAAAAGTAAAAGGACACATGTGATTAACAGCATTCTTCAAATAAGACTTCAAAAAACAATAAGACTTCAAAAAACAATAATGAACAAGACTTCACAAAGTGATAAAGAAAACACATGGCCATTTTCAAGTAATATAAATTGAACAGACATCAAGACGTTATGTACTGTATTTTCCTCACCCTCATTTGGCTCTTCACTACTTGGAAACCTGACTGTTCTTCACAAACTCAAATGGGGAATGGACCTCATTTCACATAGGGTAAGAGTTATGCTCGTGATATTGCTGTGGCCACTCCCTGTCCCTGACATTCACTCTGCATCCTGAACGACCTCTAACTCATCCATGGCAGCCTCTATCTCCTCCCTCAAAGCTTGATCATATAGAACTGGGCAGGACCGGGGATCGATCTTATTAACCTTAGCTATATGCTCCAGGACTTTCATCTTGCTGGTTTCAGCGTGGGTCCTTGGACCCCACAGAAACTCATAGCGAGCAGGATCACTATTGGGCACCTGCCGACACTCTATGTACTGTTCCTGTACTAAATCCTCGGTGACAAATTTCCACCGGTCCCCTGTAGGAAAGTTCTCCCTCTTTGGTAACATCTGCCTCATTTTCAGTACTTCCCTTACATCCTCCTCACTGGCACAGTTACCCTTTACAAAGATGACAATCAAGAGCACTACCAGGAGGTCAATTTTGGGAATAATACGATCATCAACCATTATCCCTTTATAAGTGAGGCCCAAGATAGGGACAAGGTCATACATGTGGCCAGGGGGATCTCTCTCCTTAACATCAATGCCAAAGCAAAGACACATGCACTCACAGACTTCCTTGAAGATCACAGGGAAGTGCTCATGGTAATTGTGGTCTACAGAGTGCAGCATTTCTGCCTTAGTGACCTGCTGTGTCTTTTGATACTTCAGGAGCAAGAACTCCACCAATTTAGCTGTCTTGTTATCTATGAACACGCGTCTCAGGATCTGAGGGACCAGCACATCCAGTGAGGTTTGTGGATCATCCTCTTCACTGCTGGAGCACAGGCTGGAATTGCTGCTTAGATTGGAGTCCATAGTAACAGCAGAGAGAAGACAAACCTGAGGTTTCTGGGAACACTCTGGTGTCCTGGATGGACACAGTTTACTTCTTTTGCCAAATATTTGACTATAGGAGGAAGAAGAGAGAGAGAACGCAGTGGCTGTTACTTCCTCCCCTTAAGATTTGAGAACCTGCACCTCTGTAAGGCCACATACCCCACTTTGGCTGCTGTGGTGTGCTTTCTGACTTGGCTTGCTGTGGTGTGTTTTCTGACTGTGAAGATGTCCTTGGAGACAGCAAGAACTTGGTGATGAGAACCCAGATACCTGGAAGAGAGAGGGAGACTCTGTGAGTATATTCAGGTGAGAACATCACTCTTGTCAGATCTCACAAAGCCCCAATTTCAGGGTGTCTCTTTGGTGCTTTAGGGCTTCAGAGGCTCCTGTTGTCTCAGCACATATGTCTTCAGAACCTCAGAGAGGAAGTGAGACTGCTCTTGGGGTTACAACTGAACCACAGAGTACAGGCCTTTAAGACAGACAGTACAGCAAGCTAGGCCTGTGCACAAGGAGTTGCCTTTGTCTTAGGTCCAGTGAAGGCCTAGGTACGTATCAGGGTATACACTCCCTTGACTCCTGACACTGTCTTGGCCTCCTCTGTTGTGTGACCTGTTAATACTCCTCAGACCCAGACCTAAACTGCCTGCTTTATGAATCTTCTATAAGAGGAATGGAGGGCCCCATGAAGTGTAGCCACAAGCTCAGTCCTGGTCTCTCAGTCCTTACTCTTAGGGTAGGCTCTATCTTGTGAGGTTCCTTTTAGTCTGGGTGGTTTCTCTTCTCTCTGCTCACTCAGGATCCTCTAATGTTCTTGAGAAGAACTTGGACCCAAATTCACTGCTAGCCTAAAGCAAATTCTCAGAAAAAGCATTTTCTAGCCTAATAGAGGACAGCAAGCATTAAGGGGACAAGCTTCTGGCCACTGCTGCCTGGAGATAACAGCTTGAGATGGAAACAGTAAGTGGGGTCTGCGTACCCTACAAAAGGGACCCTGATCCATTCTCATCTTGATAAAAGGTAAGGTATGGGAATTTTCCCAGGATAACCGGGGGTCACCGTCTTTAAACCACAGCCCTAACTTTCTGAGACATTCAAAGGAAGAGAGGGAAAGCCAGTTCACCTATGTTCTCTGAGCTGACGTCAAGCAATAAAGAGACAGTTTGATCTTAGGGCACTATGTGTTCTTTAGATAGAATTCCCTCTGATGTCATCTAGATGCCTGCATTTGCTGTCCAATTTCAGGCCCCTTATACCAAGGTTTTCACCTCTCTGAGACCTAGAGCTAAAAGACTTGTATCAGCTTGAAAACCCTGCCCAGTATTAATGAGATGACCTCAGACACAGAGTAGATGTCTGGGGAGTACCCACCTATCCATGTCATGGGTAGTGGTGCCCTTAATTCTCTTTTAGGGTGCCTACCTTGACTCTTAGCACACTCTGGGATCTGTGTGTCTCATGACCAGATGGGGTTTCCTGTGTTAACATGAAGATGTCATCTAGTTCAAGTCTTTCACTTCACTGAGATCTTCAGGATTCTCAAAAGAAGTGAGCAAGCACCTTTCCCATCATTGCTGCATGGGAACTTCAGTGCTTGCAGAAGTAACTGTCCCATTTCTACTGTTCTGTGGGACCTCTGTTATGATTTAATTTTCCCCAATAGCTCCATTGGATCATAGGCAGGACCTTTGGAAGGTGACTGGATTATAAGGCTTAAAGTTGACTTGCCAGGAGCTGGGACATGATCAGAAGAGGAAAGGCACTGTGGGCGTGACAAAGCAGGTTTCATCTCCCTTCCTGGCTCCTTGGTTGACTCTCTGCTTCATAGAGGACTTATGGTGAGCAGCTTTCCTCACATCAGGCCCCTCTACTCTGCTATTCTGCCTTGGAACTGTCTGATTGGACTGAAATGTCAATAGATTATCAGCACCAATCAACTTTTCCTCCATTAAATTGGAGGTTCTGTGTGTTGTGTCCTGTTGGGAGCCGCCGACACCGGTCGCCTTACTTGGCGGACGTAGGGCCTGTGGGTGGGGGCGGAGCCTGAGCTAGATTGCCCCTCCCATTGAGTGAGTCAAGTTGGCGCCTGCTTCCTGCCCCCTGATTGTGCTGGCGACTTAAACAACCCGCTCTGTAAGATAGTCTGCCTAGCAACAACTGATGTTAGCCAATCAGCCCGCATCGCGCGCTTTGAACTGATTGGCCACTGTCACCCTATAAAAGTGAATGCCTCTCCCGCCACGAGACAGGAAGCACAGAGAAAGCACAGAGAGAGATAGAAAAAGTCCACCGGCGAGAAAGGGCTGGTGGCAGAGAGGAGGCCTCGCGGGGCCCACGCGGAGACAAATAAAGGCAAGGTTGCACACCGCCAGACTTTGTCGTGTGTCTTTCCTGCCAGCCGGGAGCGACCCCGACAGTGTCCCAACAATATCACTTACGTGCTTGTGCAGCTTCTCCATCTTCCTCCTGTCAAGCTAACCTTCCTCATTACTACCCCTCCAGAAAATGGCCTTTCACCTTGAGACCCAAACGTCTTCTCCCTGATGACTCTCCACCTTGTTTCCGCCACTGAGGGCTTTAGAGGGCTGACCCAGAGGTGAGGAAGACTCTGGAGTTTGTTAATTCTGGATTGAAGACACCCAGAATCCTCAGGAAGAGTCCATAGCATGGGTCTGGCAGCTCCTGGGGTTCTGACTCTCCTGACTACATGGAGCATCCACTGCTGACTGGTGGTTTCCTCTTGGACCACTGTCACTTCCATGAGTTCTCCTATGTGCAACTACTCAGAATTGTGAACAATTCATATTCAGCCACCTTTACTTGGAGTTCCAGGCTGGTAATATTGGAAGTCAGAGTGGTAACAGGACCCATTTTTATGGGCGTGGACTACGGTCATACCTTTGGTGCTGGAAAATCGTGATGTGATGAATAGCAGCTATTTGGCCACTCTGGTATTCAGAATCCAGACTCTGGAAAAATCACACTTTGGGGAGAGAAATAAATGAAAAACAGGGAAGTATATCTACAGGAATCTAGAAGGATCTGACAGGAAAATTAAAAATTACAGAGAAACGGAAGAGACAATAAAAAACACAGAAAAAAGAACAGTCCAGAATTTCTCCCTGACTTTTGTCTCATGTGAAAGGAAACAGAATCTGTAGAATTAAGTGAAACCTAGGAACTTTAGGAGATCCCAAGGAGAAAAGGCAGTGGTTCAATGGACTGGAAGTTGCTGTGATCTGCAGGGATGATGTGGAGTTTTACTCTCACAGAATCCTTACAGCTGGTGAATGATCCTTGAGCAGGTGTCTACCCTGTCCTTGGAGAGTTACTGAGCATCTTAGTTATTTTTCTCTCTCATTGTTGAAACAAAATACCTGATGCCCAAAGTTAAGGAAGGGAAGGTTTATTTCTTATAGGTTGGAGGTTTCAGTCCATACTCAGTTGGCTCCAAGTGGCAGGGTAGCATTGCGGTGCCACCATATACAGCAAGCAGGAACAGCAAAAGAGAGAAAAACATGCCTTCTTCCTGTCTTTACACTGTATACTGACTCCACCCCTGCGTGGGTGTAGCACTTACACCACCAATTCTAGTGCTAGACAATGAACCAATCACAAATACTAGATTGAGCGGTGTCCATAATTGCATGAGACTTGTGGGGGGAGGGCATATGACATATAAACCATAGCACTGAGCTTTGGTTCCATTCAAGGAAAAGGTTGAGTATTGGAACTTGAGACTGAGAACATCAATGGGACAGCTTCACTTCAGAGTTCCCAGCATTATCCTCCCACAACGACTGGATGGGAGACAGACTCAGAAAACAGCCCGTGACAGACAAGGAACTGCAAAGAGGACATATAAGGAAGGGTTATACTGGGAAAGTCACACTCCCTACTACAATTGGCTGAAAACTAGGCCCAACCTGAATTTCTGTGGATTTGAAAGTTTTGCTATTGGTTATTGGAGCTTTTATCTTTTTTGCAGCATCCATCATGGAGCTGAGTCTAGCTGCCTTCCTTATCTACCATTTATGAGCATGGATACCTCTTGACTTGGACACAGCCATAAGTTGGGAAAAACAATGGAGCCTCAGAAAACACTGAGAATTTCTACACTTTAAAATTCTGAATCCTCAGTGGAAACTACTTACTCAAAATTAAAGGATTGAAAAAAATTTTCCTTACCTTTTTCTTACCTCTTATTTTCACCTTCTCTTTCAACTCTTTATTTTTAATCTCCATGTAATTTCTTTTCTTTATCCTTTTATTCTTTTATCTTCAATTTCTCATCAGTATTTCTGTTGTCTTTATCTAATTCTATAAACATTCACCTAGTCCTTAATAGGATCCTTTGTCCTACTTCTCTCTCCCCCTTCTCTTATCCTTTAGTTTAAGCAGTCATATATTTTTTGCATTCCCAATTTCCAGCACCCTGGTACACCATTAAGTTTTGATTTTAACACTGATATAGTTAATTAACTCTAAATAACTATTGTTGAATTTTTTTCTACCATTAGCAGATCTGTAACTCTTGCATTTAGTACATATTAGTGGTTTGTAAATATCTGGCTTGTCTAATGTGTGTCCTGTAAGTGTGGATTTCTATTCCATGGTTAAGAGTAGTACCTAATTTTATACAATTGATTGTTAATATAAAATGTGTTCTGGATAATGCTTCTCTAGATGATTTGCTTGATGTTGCCAGGGTCACATAATTGTCATTAAAAGGTTTCCTCTGATTGTCAATGCCCAGACTGTCTTTGTGACATGAACAATATTGGGGACATTCACAGAGAACTTGGCTTTGGGTCATTTATACTTCATCTTCTTCTCTCAAATTAACAGAGGTGATCAGATTTTAGGGCAGAGGAAAAAAGACTATAGTTACCTACTCCCAAAGTACATCACTGAAAAGAAACAAACTAAACAGCATGAAAGTCTTTCCACTGTAAGTGCCACAAACTTCAACACAAAAG